GAGGTAGCTCTCTAGACTCTTCTGGCAGCTCTCCAAGCCTGGCCCAACACTGGTAGCAGCTGCTGAAGGAGGTCATTCTGACAGCATGGCACGACCAAGGCGTGTCTCAGCCGACTTAGACATGATCTGGATCCAATCCTTATCGATCTGATGAACTTCTTCGCTTCCATCGGCATTTGCTTGGCGATATCACCACCAGTGAAGACCGACTCCAGACTAGTCCACAGCATCTGCACCTTCACCCACCGCTCTATAATGTCGCCGGCCTCACTCAAGCTTGTGATCATATTCTGAAGAGGCTCCTTGAACGGCAGAGAGTGGCGCATAGCGTTCATAGTATTCAGCTGCATCAGGGCTTCCTCCAGCATCTCCTGGATCTCGGCTACTCGTCCACCGGACAGGACACAGTCGTAATCCCGAGACTTCCACGAGCCAAACAGGAACGCCTCTTCACTCCATTGCTTCGTGATGTCTGCTAGACGCTTCTCGATGATCAGTTGCTTGTCTGCTGAGTCACAGATGTCCGTAACCTCATCGATGTGCTCCTGCAGATTGGCGTCGATCAAGCTTTGCAACATGAACATCTCAGAATCGACCTGAGCAATCGATGATAACACAGACTCGTTAGAATACACAACGCTTATCTCTCACCGGCAGCTCCTTGCCAGTGAGCTCCTGTACTTGCTGCCAATGCCTCGGCATAATAGACGGTTTGGCCAGCTCGACCAACAGCGGCAGAGCCTCCGAGAAGTCCTCGATCTCCTTCTTCAGCTCATGGTACGCCGGCCACTCTCGCAGCTGTTTCGGCATCTTCTTGCAACGGTTGCTGAATACTTCAATCTGAAAAGCATCGCTAGTGCGAAGACTGTCCATGTTCGATGTGCTCACCTGAGACCTCATGTCTTCGATATGCTGCGGCACTTCCGTCCAGAGATAGTCCTTCCACTCCTTGATGGTCTCCAAAACAAGCACGTACAAGTCATACAACTGGGCTAAGTATCCAAGCTCTTGCTTGGTCTTCTCAAGCTTGGGGTACTGTTGATGAGGCAGACCAAAGAGGTCCTCTCCGAGATAATAGATTTCTTGTTTCCTCGACCGAACTTCGAATTCCTCTTTGAACCGCTTGAGCCGCTCGACAGCTTCTCGTGGGGCTATACCGTTGACCATGGGGCCGTGGGACTCGTAGTTCTTCCGGAAGTCTCGTACCTAGAGCAACGAATAGTAGTCCTAGTCCGAAATCAACATTGCCACTTACGTCCTTCTTGAAATTATTGACCGTCTGAATGAGAGTCT